TAGTGGAGTAAAAGTAAAAAGTTCCCAAATAAATAACTACTCAAGTAAAGTAMAGATACTCAAAAAATGTACTTAATTACAGTAATAAAGTAAAAGTACTTTGTTACTGTCCACCACTGCTTATAAAGCAAGGCACAAAAATAAAAGCATGTGCACTGATTAGTTGGGTTAATCACACATCCTCTCTTTCAGAATTAGTGCTAAGCTACATTGTAGCCACAGCTGTCACTGACAGAGGTGAGGCTGCCATGCACCGGACCCTAAGACCACCACCAGTCCTGGCAACAATGCACATTTAAAACATTTCACTGTCACAATGTAAAACATCAATAAAACTCATTTTCATTTGGTATTACGGTCGATAGAAAAGGTCTTATATGGTCTGATGTCTGGTCACGGTGGTGCAGTTACCTAAATCATCACGTGCTGCCTGTACAACACACAGCTTTATATTTAAAACCTGCAGGTGACAAAAAACTCACATATTTGTAATAAAGTTTATTTTACTGATAATCGTGTCCCTATATCTGATGATGTTCTACGTTAGTGCCTTTGTGCAAAGCACTGTGAACCCAAAGTTTAAACAGTCCAACATGTGGTGGAAAGTTTTAATTCTTGTAAACATTTGGACAAAGCCTATAAAAAAGAAGAGCTGGGCCTGGCCAACATGAGCAGCAGAACCAGAACCAGAGGCAGGAACACTGAGCAGGAACGTGGCGGTCTGATGTGAGGGGGCGGGGCTTCACAGGAAGGCGTCGCACCACTCCTTCAGGCACTGAGAGCAGGAGGCAGCCTGGCGAGTGTTGGCTCCGCTGGCGTCTTTCAGCCAATCAGTGAACATCTCAGGGTCCTTCTTCAGCAACAGGAACTGACCCAGAACCACGTAGGCCTGAAAACACAAACAGAACCAAAACAATGATGCAGTTGGAGCAAACAGAAAATAATATTTGGATTTATGACCTGCAGTTTGTTTACATGATAGAAGAGAAATCCATGTCAGCTATTTTACAACAAATAAAAAAATCCCAAACTGTATGTTAAACTAATGGATTCACATTGTAACAGTAGTTAGTTTTTCATCTGAACCGACACAACGGTTCCAATTTAAAAGCTAAAACAAGCAGATACAATATTTTGTGTGAGAGGAAGATTATTTGTCCTCAGAAATTCAGTTTAGAAGCTCCCAGAGCTCCCAGTCACTCAGCGTACACTCCACTGGCTGAAAGATTATTTCGTGCAGCCCAGAGAACTCTCAGATTTGACTCCAGTCAGATAAAAAGAGGAGCTAAACGGGTCTGAAAACTGTTCCTCTGGTTTCCAGTTTGAGCCCATCAAGGTGAAAACTGGCTGATACTGGTTTAAGGCCGATCGCTCAGAACATCCCTAAATAAAATGAAGACACAAATGAGGCGTATATAAATATTAATATTTTACTGTTTAAACATAGAACTGGATTCTACAGATTGGCTTGGTGGTCTCCAGGGGCCTCATGTTCAAAGACTTGTGTGGATTTCTCACTGAAACCTGACGTACGGTATAATCCAGAAAACGGCGTACGCACAAAAACATCCAGATGTATCAAACTGTGCGTACACCTGAATCCACACACATTTCTTTTGTACGTCACAATTAACGTGGAACTGAGCGCAGGTAAGACTCCTCCCCTGACACGCCTTCATTAACATATGTTAAACAGATGCTAATTACTTCCTGCATGTGTGAAGGACATGTTTGTTTGATCCCTGTGATCAGAAATGATTTCTAGAGTCATAAAAATAATGAATTAAATATAAAGTGAGTGAGAAAAAAATCCTAAGTAAAAATAGGAATAAAATATGTTTATCACACAAAGAACAAGTGATTGTGTGTCAGTGTGTGTGTGTGTGTGTGTGCTGCTGTGTGTGTGTGTGTGTGTGTGTGTGTGTGTGTGT